AATGGAGTTGGCGTTGTTACAGGTATATTTGTTTGAAGATTTCTACCAATTTTTACTATTTATTAAAAGAATTTCTCTAAAAATATATCAAACTAAATATTTATTTTTTATTTTTTATATTATATTAAAAATCAATTTTAGATTCAAAGCATCACATCAATCCCTATTTATATCATATCATACAACTATTCAAGATATACTCTAAAATTCAAATCTCCAAACAAACATATGTAAGTGAGTTTATTATAATCATGATTCAAAACAATTTTTGTTTAACGTGTCTTACTCAGCTGGTATAATTTGCAAATTATTACCTTTATTTAATACACATTTGAAAAATAACGATTACAGATTCTCACATTATAAACTATATATATATTTGAAATTTGCTTTAATTTGTAAGAAAGGGTTGGGTTGATAATGTCATTGACTAATGAATGCAAAATTACTGATTCGAATCCATCGATGTCTTATTGCTTGAAGAATAAAGAATTAGTCCCTCCGTCCCACGTTGAATGTCTGGGTCACCGTAGACACAGGAATTTAGAATAAGTATAATTAGTAAATAATTAAAAATATATTAGTAAAAATAATTATCTTATAATATAAATAAATATAAATTAAGATTAAGATAACTAATTAATTTAATTAAAACTAAAAAAAATTAAATTAGAAATTTTAAAATGATATTAAAGTGTATAATTATTTTCCATAAAATGAAAGTGACATGGAATATGAGACGGACAGAAACAGCAATATGGACATGGGAGATGGGACGGAGGGAGTGTTTAAATTTTCTTTGAGTTTATTTGAACTTTTACACATTCTATTTGAACTATTTCGAAAATAAAATGTACACTACCACTAGTATAATAGGGAGGCTGAAATTTTTATACTTTTTTTATAAAAAATGTTATTTTTTTTTTTTTAAAAAAATAATAATAATAATAGAAATGACATACAAACTTATATAAAAATTAAATTGTTTTTGGGAATATTTTTACACTTAAAAATTATTTTATTATGCGTTTTAATTTGATATAATAGTATCAATTAATATAAATTAAATTAAATTTGATATTATTGGTAATGAGTGAAATCTACATTTGCTAAAAAAAATAGGAGTAATTAAGTAATATGGTAAATTATATAATACTCTATTGTGTTTTAGTAAAAATACATAAAATACATTGTGTTTTATTTATTGCGTGAAACCTCATTATGTTAATGTAAAATTTGCACGAAACATCATCATTGTCTAAAAACTGATATTTGATTCTAAACAAAGACTTAACTTATGCAAGTTTAATACATATAAAAAATGCAAAATATCTTAAATAATTTTTTTGAATAAAATAAATAAATAATTGATCAATCCTTCATTTTATAGTTTTTGGAACCAAATTGTTATCTGATTTTTATAAAACCTATAAAAATAAATAATTGATCAATTATTTATTTATTTATTTTATTTTAAATATTTTACATTTTTTATTTGTATAAAACTTGCGTAATTTAATTAAGTCTTTATTTATAACTAAATATCAATTTTGGACAAGGAGGGTGCTCCGTGCCAACTTTACATTAACACAAGAGAGTTTCACACAATAAATAAAACGCAGAATATTTTGTGTATTTTTACTAAAATACAATGAGGTATTATATAATTTACTCTAAGTAATATTATAGTTTTAAACAATCGAAAATAATAAAAATAATATTCTTGAAATAGACGTAAGAAACATTATTTTCCATATATATATACACACAGGGTGTGTGTGTGTGTGTGCAAAATTTAATAATGATTGCAAGAAAGATATGCATGCATGCATGAGTTGTTTTCTAATTTAGACACTCTTAGCTTTTCTTATTTCGATACACTAAATGTTGGATCGGACAAAATTTGGGATATTGTTCATTATCCCATAGATCTTGGCAAGGATTCACCCTAGATTAACTTTCTTTAAATTTTATTTTTTTCGAACAATTAAACGACGATGAAACACTCGTATTGTGTGGTTTGCGGTCTAGTGCGTTCAACTCAAAAATTTACTTAGTACGCACTCAAAAAATAGTAACTGTAAATACTTACGACATTTTAAATAAATAAGAATTAATGATATACATATATATATATATTAAATTAATTTTATATTTTTAATTGTAATTCGTGGAACTTAATAATAATGAATGAAAAATCGAATCTAAAATTTGATGAATGCTATGTAAAAGTGATATAATTAGAATACATTTACATATACATATATAAAGAATTTTGTATATATAAGAGAATACAAATTCAAATAAATTTAAAACAATGGATGTGTTCTTTTGAAATTTAAATTTTGTTTTAATAGTAATTTGAATCTAATATCTTACAAACAAAAAAAAAAAAAAAAATGTATATTTTTTATATAAATTATAATACTTGTATAGTAAACAATAAAAATAATAATCAAATCAAATCAAATTTCAAAAGAATTAGCATTTTTTTTTTCTCACAAAAATATCACATTAAACTTACTATTTCAATAACAAGTAAGCACAAACATATTCATTTGCCTATATATATTCTATTCGACTTAGAGCATCTCCAATCCGCTGCATTAGCTTCAATTAACCCTATTTTCTACTACAAAGATGGAGTACTAAATAGTACTACATTCGTCCGTCTCTAAGGATCTTATTTATTTTTTGCGTGTTGATCTTGAATATTAATTATTATATTAAAACGTAGTACATATTAAGAAAAAAATTTTGCAAAAATACTTTCATTAGTGTCATATAATACTAATAGAATGACATCTGTACAAAAAATTATACAAATATAAGAATATTTTTAATGTAAGTATAATGATGCAAAAATAAATATGACTCTTAGAGAGGGACAGATGGAGTATTACTCCATTTTTGGAGTAACAATGTGCATTATTTTATTTTCGAGTTATGTATTTTTTGTAATTTTTTTTAGTATATTGTATAATGTTATTTTTAAAAGAACGGTTCGTAACTTTACTTTTTGGAAAATAACGTTAATTTTACTTTTTTTTTAAGTGATATTTTTTTATTTTTTTTATTTTTATTTTTTTGAAATAATTTGTAATTTTATTTTTTAGTGGGTGACATATGATTTATTTTTCGGAAGGAGATATATAAACTAAAAGGTTAAATTTGGAGAATCTTGGCCATCATATTGATTGAGAAAGAAAATATTAATCTTGTATAGTTTTATCATTATATTATGCACACTCAATTGGGAAATACATATATAAATAATACTCACCCAATATCTAAATATTTCTTATACATATTTATTTTTGACACAATTTTATAGTTCGTATAATTTTAATAGTTTTTTATCATTTTATTCTTATTTTTCTTTGGAACGACTTTATAAATTAATTTAGAATGATTAGAGGAAAAGCTATTGAGGTACACATTGAAATATCGAAAGAAAAATCTACATCTTATAAGTATAAGTCTCACATAAATTTTACTAAAATGAGAATTTTTTGAAAAAATTTAAAAACAAATTTATTCAAACTTAGCCCAAAACGAATAATATTGAAATATCCTAAATTAGAATTAATAGCAAAATATTTGAGAAAGATAATAGAGAGAGAGAGAGAGAGATTTTAATGGCCATGATGATGGATGTTTGAATTGAAACGATTATTGAGATTTGGGTGTCAATAAATGGGACTACAAGTGGAATATATACGTGGTCCCTTATTCAATTTTCTTTTCATTGGAAATAAATGTTTTTGTTTATTTTTTCATTTATTTTATTATGTAATTGTCGTAATTATTTATAAAATATTATATTTAATTATTATTATTATTCAGAACACACTCAAAAAATAATAACGATAGATTTTTATATCATTAAAAATAATAATGTAAGTTGTTACCTTAGATTATAGGTTAACCCATCATGCACTCGAAAAATAGCTATGCGATCGACAGTACTAAAATCATCATGTGTACTTATCTATATTTTTTTTCATATTTTCAAAGTAAATAGTTGTTAGAATATACTCCCTCCGTCTCAGATACCATGTTCACGTTGCCGTTTCTGTCCGTCTCACATACCATGTCACTTTTCTTTTTTGGAAAATGATTACACACTTTAATCTCATTTTAAATTTTTAAATTATATTTTTTTAATTTTAATTAAACTAATTAGTTATCTTAATCTTAATTTATAATTATTTATATTATAGGATAATTATTTTCACTAATACATTCTTAATTATCTACTAATTACACCCCTCCTAAAATACTGTATCTACAGTGTAGCGGACACGGTATCTGGGACGGAGGGAGTAATATAGTAATGTATTGAATGGAAAATAAAAGTTGGCTTTGTTCACTCAAATTATAGTTATTGACACAATTTTTGGTTCGCTTGTCCAAAAATTTTTTCGATACGATTTTGAATATATATATATTATTCTTTTACAAAAATCAACATTCAATATAAAATACTTTTCGTTCGTCTCTAATGGTCACATTTATCTTTTGCGCTCTATTATAAGACATTAATTGCAATATTTTTTTTATTTTTTCTTAATTTGTACTATATTTTGATATAATAATTAATATTGAAAGATTGACATCCAAAAAGTAAATAAAACCATAGACGAGAGTAGTATTTTATTTTATATTACGGATACGATTTTTTTGCTAATAAACAAACTCAAATCACAATAATCCTAATGTTCAAATAAGATAAAAATAATTCAACTTCCCTCCAAATGTGTTGTTTCCTTACCATTCGCAATAAAAATCTTAATTAGTCTTTACACCATTATTTGTAAGTTATAAATTTATTCATAAATCATAATATAGAGATTAATTAATAAAAAGGAAATAAAGATGTTATTAAACACAAGTTATGTATAGTATAATTTATGTCAGTCGAACTTAATTTGCAAACTATTAAATTCAATTGAAAATTTATCCAAATCGCACTAAAAAAATAACAAACTACGGATTCGTGCTCGGCATCAAATGCTAATATTTAAATCCACATATTGTATGTGACTAATTTATAATGTCATATACCAATATCAATATCAATACATGTGACAATATTCCAGCAACTACGAATTAGATATATGATTATTTCTATGACAACAAAACTTCTTCACAACCAAACATCAATTCATTTTCGAATCTCTGCAAAACAAACCGTTCTTCGGAAGCTATAATATTTGTGACAAAACACTTGCCGCCGGAGAATGGCTTCCGGCCAGTTCTTCCGGCGCGATGTAAATAACTTACGGCGTCTTTGGGAAGGTCGAGGTTGTACACATGAGTGGTCTCCGGCAGGTCAACCCCCCTGGCCGCAATATCTGTTGCGACTAGGAGATAACCTCCGGATCGCTTAACATCCTACAATCGAAAACGAAGATTCGGATAATACAGATTCTACGCGTAAATTAGCATCAATGAATCATTTCTTTCGGGTACTTACGGATAAGGACGCAGCTCGTTGGCTAAGATTCATTTCTTCTTCTAAAAGAACTAATTCCAGATTTTCGCCATAAGAAGTTTTGAGAAAATCGAACAAAAGTGTTACCGGGGGAGCTTTTCCAGCTTTCTTCGATTTCTCAGACTGTGCGCAAGACAAGAATGCCGTTACTACACAAAGGAGAATGAATTGATTTAAGTCGACGATAGTTCAAAGGTACTAACTTGCTCGCCGACAAAAATTATGGCAGATTTAGGCGAATCGGAATTTAACAAATTTAGGAGTGTTAGATGCCTCTCCTTTTTCGCGCATATCTGAAAAAGAACGCAAGAAATAAAAACCAACAGTGTCGAAGATGTTATATTAATCGTTGAATGGCGCAATTCAGGGATTTTTATTCGAATTTCTTACAACGAATCTGTGATGTAGGCACGACGGCATGGGTTCAGCTGCATTTACGTGGACATGGACAACGTCAGCCTGTCGTAATAATTTTGTGAGTGCGAGTTTTACGAGTTATTGAGTAAAGGGTGTTGGAAATTCACGTACCTTGGTCCATTTGTGTTGAACACAGTCGTAGAGGAATCGTCTGTGCTGAGGAATCGACGCGCTGGCAAAGATGGTCTGTCGCTTATTGATTGACGAGTAGGTCGTCAAAAGCTTCCTCAAAGAACTCACTTCATTCGATGAATTGAACATGAAATCGACCTGTGCATCAAGCAGGATATCGTAAACATCATTGCTCAAGATATGCTGGCATCGACGGCATAAGAAAGAATTAGACATATGAATACGCGTGAAGATTAATTATCCGGCTCACGTCAGTTCAATGCAACACAATACAAAATTTTCAAACAATAAGACATGTTATCTTTGAGTTTTTCTTCAATTTCTTACTATGCAATAATCTTATTGTTTTTGACAAAAACATGTACTCCCTCTGTCCCATATTTCCGTCTGTCCAAAATCAAGTCTCACTACCGTAAATAGTAAATATAGTCCCCGCGCTACTATAAGATTATCCTTGATTTTCATTAGTATTACACAAGTACTATTACTTTTTACCCATAAATCAAAACATTCACTAAAAAAGCAAGGGCAAAAAGAACACTTTTTAAGATTACTTGTATCCACTACCGTCAAAATATCAATATTCCTTGCTGTCCCAGAAAAATATGTATTAATAGATCCGGGATGGAGGGGGTACATTATTTATTCAAAATTATCACATCCAACAACCATTTCATCCCAAAACACTTAAAACACAGGCACAAAAAAAAATGCACCCTAATAGTTTAGAGAGCGATGATAGAAGCAATTCCCTAGTGCTGTCAAAACGACTGATTGAAAAAAAGATATATGTTTTAAAGAAATAATTAAATAGTCAATATTAATTTCTCAGATAAGCAGCAACTAGTCTCGAAAGTCTTTCCACAATGGTATATGCTAATTCCATGCATTTTACTAACCTCATCAATTACCAACACACGCATTGCATCAACCTTAAGAATTTGTTTGTCGAGCATGTGGCAGAGGCTCTTCAAGGTAGCAATTACAATAGTCGGAGGATCAGCCTGTCAAGACCAGATTTTCACATTTTACATCCGGTAACGAATGAAAATAGAGACATAAAAAAGTAAAATAAAATAAAATAAGCATAACCGAAACAAGAGATAAAGGAAAAATTGAACCTAGCTATGATAGCATGTGTCGAACTTCTTACGAAAATTGTGTGAAAGTAGTAATTATATTTCCACATACATAACCCGGCGTTTCCAAGCAAAGCCAATCATTTAACATCACAAGGCTTTTACTGATCAGATATATGAAAATAGCTCTCAATACCTTCAACCAACTCTTATGTCTCCTCAACGTACCACCATCTAAAAGAGCCATGATGATACACGACTTTTGTTCTGGTTCAAGCTCTGAAGATTTTGCAGCGAGCATACGTGCAACTTTTGTAACCTTAATTGTAGCAAGATAAAAATCAGATTGCAGCTTTTACAAAAATTACAACTAACTATTTATCTAATTTGGAGATAGAGATAATCAGAGCCAAAACTCTACCTGTATGCCAAGTTCTCTTGTCGGTACGACAATCAGAGCCTGGACAGATGACCTCTGAACATTGACAACCGAGAATATCCGAAGCATGTAAGCTAGAGTCTTTCCAGAACCTGTCTAGAGAGCCAAGGAAAGTAACAAGTTCAAGATTAATTCAACCATATGCCGCTATCCTACATGGAAAATTGCCTAAACAAACGAGAAAGCAAAACTGAAAGAATACATGCAATCGTGCGCCATTTGAAACAACGATGGACCTATTTTCAATATAAGAAAACCGATAAGTTCTCAAAAATTAAAACAAGGTTGCATAAGCATTGACCTGAGCATGAATCACACAATCACGCCCAGAAAATAACACCGGAAGTGCTTCACGTTGTACGCTTGTCGGAACAGTGTATCCCATTTCCTCCACCCTGCAAATAGAAACAAATGAATTCAAAAGGTAATCAGCTCATATACAAATATATATATATATATATGGTAATCAACTTAAATCTTGTTGTAACGGATTAGGTTTAATGATAGAATAACAAATAGAAACGTATGGAAGACACAATTTTAGGTAGCTCATCAACAACATGTTGGTTACGTCCACAAGCAGAAACGGAGAATAAATTTATTAAAGGCAGCTATGTTACAAATTATAGATACCGATTTCTGATACAGATTATCTTAAATTACATATTTCTAAGTCTATTCAAATAAACTAAAAGAATACATCATACGGACTCATTACTCGTTCCAATACGAACTCAAACGTCCAATATTGCATATCGTCGGGCCAGGGGCCACTCCGCGCCCCCGGACCCCAGGCAAGGGGGACTTTGCCCCCTTGACCCCCCTTAAAAACTCAACAAACTAGCAAACTAGATTCAAAGTATATTTTAACAAAATCCAATGAAAGATTAGCTCGACAAAGAATGCCCATCTAAATTACGAGAGTTCCATTACATTCATGCTAATTCAACAAAACAGTCAAATACTTGCCTGCAGAGTACACGATCAGGAACATGACTGCCACATAATCTGCGAAGTTCTGAATCTGTCAATTTCTTTGTCTCGGCTTCACTTTGCTCTACATGAGTGGAGCCAAGAGAAGCAGATATATGAATAGTACGGTTCTTGCAGCCATAAAGCGACGAATCTGATCGATTAAAACTACAATCGGAATGCAATAGGAACCTCATCGAACAGCACCACTTGGGGGAGGAATACACATGTGCCGTGCCCCAATTTTGGAACACAACATAGCAGTGTGGTAGTGTTAAGAAATTCACTGCACTCAAGCCACAGTACATTACAACTGAAATTTCCGAACAGTCCTTTTGCAACAGGCGATCTTCTCTGCAAACCCAAGCTCGGTAGCTAAATTAAGACCCCAAATTGGTAATTGTTGTCCTTATCAACTTCATCTGTAATATGATAACTTTTATAAAAAAATCGATCAATACTCAATCAACAAATACAATATTCAAATTTGACTTTATCCTCACTCTCTTATTTTTCTTTCTTTTAGTCCTTTTACTATGCAATAGTCACTGTTCCCTTTTCAGAAACACAATATTTACTCTCATGAAATATCACGTTCAATCATAGTGTAAACCAAAATTCAAAATCAAACATACAGAGTGTCTTTGTTTAGTTTTTATAGTTTTAGATGTTTTGTTGCGAGGTATATAGAGAATTGTGAATGTATTATAAAGAATGATGTATAGTACTCCCTCTGTCCCATGTAATATGGGTGTATTACCGTAGACACGAGAATTTAGGTAAAGTATAATTAGTAAGTAATTAAGAAGTGTATTAGTAAAAATAATTATAGATTAAGATAAGTAAATAGTTTAATTAAAATTAAGAAAATTATAAAATTTAAAATTTAAAATGCGATTAAAGTACATAATTATATTTCCAAAAATAGAAAGGGTGAGACGGACGAAAATAGAAAATAGGGACAAGTTATGTGGGACTGAGGGAGTATGTTTTTGTTAATTTTTGGGTGTTTTTGTTTATTTGTATTGTTAAGTATATATATTGCATTTTCTTTAATATTTTGGGAATTATGTATGTTAAAAACACCAAGGGTGTGTTTGTATGGGGGATTTTTTCCAAAATCTACTGTTCATCAAATTTTTTAACCCAAAAAATCAAATCAAACATTTATTTTTATTTTTTATATTATATTATAAATTATTTTTACATTCAAAATATGATATCAAATTCAAAGTTTTTAATATACAAATTCCAATTCAAAATCCAAATCCCCAAACGAACACACCCTTGAGTGAACACAATAGTTCCATTTCAATTTTGATATTAAACAACTTTCATGATTTCTATAAATATACACTACTTCCTAACATAAAACATAGCATCCAAAAAACGGTTCAAATCAAAATCCAAACCAAAACAAATTAAATCTTTTGAATCAAATGCAATATCAGCGTTTAAAATAAAATCATCATCCACTCTCTATACAAAATATCACATTTAACAACCTATTTCGCCTGAAAAAACAATAAAAACAAAACCACAAAAACAACAAACCCAAGAAATGCTTCAGGGATTGACACCAGCTGTGGACACATTCCAATTCAGCTCGTGAAAAACAGACATCGTTTCAACAATATTCAATTAATAATTTAGTCACATTTCAAGAAAATTCACTCACTAAATAAGTCATAATCTGTGCAAATTCCAACTACCAACAACAAATTGAAGTATTTCAAAAAGTATCACAAATCAGTACTTAAAATATTAATCATTTAACAAACCTTTTAAACACAATAAATTAACATCCTCCTTAGCAAACAATGTAAATCATAATTTAAAATAATAATAATAATAAGAAGAAAAAATAACAAGAATATTAAAAAAAGTTAAAAAGAAAAAGGAAAAAGAAAAATCAAACACACCGGATGTTCCAGCTGGCGGCGGCGGACTTCGTCTCCGAAAGGCGGCAACACAAAGTAGAAGAAGAAGGGGAAAGGAGAAAAAGAAAGAAAAGAACAACGCGAAGGAGAAGCGCAGAGAAGGAAGGAACAAACACACCCTTGCTGCATTGTGCTGTGGATAATTTTTACTATTTATTTATTTTTACCCAAAATGATGGTTCGGGCTGGGCTATAGCCCGGCCCAAATAAGAAGTTGGGCTAGATTAAATTACATGTAATGGATCTAGTTTTAAAATTTTTAGATGGTTCTAGTTTTAAATTCAAAAGCCCATAAAATTTTAAATAAATTGATTTTTTAGGTGTTGTAGGAATTATGCCAAGATATAAAATATTATTTTAAATTGAATATTTAATTTTTTGACTTTTGTAATGAATATTTAAATTTATTTTTACTTTGCTTTTGTAAAAAGTATTTTGTATTGTTTATTAGTATTATTTGAGGAATGTATATATATATATATATTTTTCCTAAAATATTAAATTCAATCATTGTTTAAACTTAAATTCAAATTCAAACTCAAAGTATTACTTTTTATTTTAGTTTTTTAAAAAAATATATATCATATAATATTTATTTTTATATTTCACACATCATGCAAAAATATGTTAAATTGATTTGGATATTAGTTTTAATGTATTGGATATTTTTTGTTTTTTATAGTAAAAAAAAAAAGGAAATATTTTTAAAAAGTGAAAAATGATATGATCTTTTGCTAAAAAATAAAAGACTTTCTTATGAACAAGAAAAATGAACGTAAGCACATTTTTTTATGATAGAAGGAGTACAAAACAACAAAAATAAGTTAAATTATTTAATTTGCAGATTATTAGATTCGGCTAAACATTTACCGCAACTACATTCGAAAAACAACAGTGTTACGTATTACTACATTATAAACATAGTAATAAAATAAAATAGGGTATCAATTATTAGAGTTTAGAACTCAATTATAGAGAAAAATATACTATCCTTCCATTTTAAAAATATACATCGATGCGTCCCGGCCAAATGCATAATGGCGCTTTTGGTACAAAATTTAAAAAATAATAGTAGTATTTTAATTGCAGTGGATAGTTAAAAGTAGTATAAATATAATTTTTTAATTTTAATTTTTAGCATGAAAGATTGATATTAAAATATGGATATTTGTAGATATAAAAAAATATATATAAAAAAAAAAAAACAAAAACAAAAGTGGAGTCTAGAGTTACTAAAAAAAATTATTATTTTATAATTTAAAATAAAAATATATGTAATTAAATATTAATTTATGAATAGACTGTTGTGATACCCGTTAAACAAGATTAATGAAATATTAATTTATTAATTTATGAATAAACCCGTTAAGCGGCTAATACCCTCAAACTTAAGATGAATCAATTAAAATTTTTATATCAATAATGTGCACATTTTAACTATAAATTAAAGTGTATTTGATTTAAGGCAATTGACTTCCCGAAGAATATTCCAAAATATATGTGAATGAAGATAAAAGTATATTAGAATTGTTTCGAAAATTAGTGATCAAAAAAAAAATTAAGAAAGCATACAAGAAAATAAAAATTTGTTAAACTATTTTAATTACTTATACGTTTTTTTTATTCAGAATGTAAAAGATCTTATCTCTCGAACTCGTATGAGAATAGTACAAGAATATTCAGCTGTTGTCCATCAGACCCCGCCAGGGCTATAGGCTTTGGCTTATGTACATAAAAAATGAGTATCCTACAAATTCTTTATTATACACTATTCAAACATTTCAAAATATTTATTACAACATTATAATACTTCTTTCATTGTCCCAATACATATCGACTATTGAGTAATATTATGCATTGACAATCATCCCACCTGCAATTAAAAAAAAAAAAAACATCAGTTAAGTGAATCGGTTTACTTGAAATTTAATTTTGTATTTTAAATTTAAAGCATGATTCTTCTGTCTACAAAAGTGTATCCATTCGATCATTTTAATTTTTCCACAAAAAAAAAAAAAAATACATTCCTATCACATTTAGTAAAAAAAACTTCAATTTATACCCATTATAGCTATTGCATCATTACACTAATGAGTCATATTTTTTTTTCTAATCAACTATTTGATTTAAAATATATATATATATATATCTTTACTTGTTCTGTAAAATTTCTAATTTTATACCTATGAAAAAATATAAAACAACATTAAAACATTACTTATGTTTTTAATTACTATGTTCAAAAGTTTTGAACACATTTTTTAAAGATAGAAGAAAACACAATGATTTTATTTTACACAAGTAATTTTTTGAATTTTTAGCACTATTCATCAATAATAATTTAAAAAAAAAAAAAAAAAACCTTGAGTCAAATTCTATTTTTGGCAAAAGTATTTATGACTCAATTGTAGTTTGAAAATATTTTTACCATATTCTCTTATGATTTAAAAATTGCATTACTCATTTATATTTTAAAAAAATATTGCATAAAATTTTTTAAAAATTGCATAAAATTATTTTGTATTTTCGAAAATATTGTACATAATCCCCTAGAATAGAATCTTGTGCAATATTTTGAAAACATAGTGCAATTTTTAAATTATACGGAGAATGATGCATACATTTCAAACTATAAGCAAAATATTTTTACAAGTAAAATATAAGCATTTTTATCGTCTATCATTTTTTCACAAAATATCATACTAAACATTACTTTTTACCATTTAAAAAAAAAAATCGAAATTTCAAAAATCTCTATTTAAACAAAACCAATATTTGTATAAAAAATAAAAATAAAAAAAGTAAAGTATGTCGCAAACTAGTCTCGTAAGTGAAAAAAAAAATTGCACTTTTAGTCGTCCAGCGCCGGAGATGATTACATGGCACTCGCGTGGCTCATCAGAGGAGCCCTGACGGACATGTGAACTTTTATTTATTTTTTTTTATTTTTATTTTTATTTTAATTTTTTTTGAAAGTTTGTTTTAATTTTCAAATTTTTTTTTTTGAAATTTTTAAATTTTTACAAAAAAGAGATTAAATAAATTTAAAACTTTTAAGAAAAATAAATTCACGTGTCCCGGCTGTCACTGACTGACGAACACGTGTCCTTCAGTAAGCCACGTGAGTGTCATGTAAACATTTTCGTACGGATTAAAAATCTGAAAAAAAATTCTTTGTAAGACTAATTTGAAAAGACATTAAATAAATTAAAAAATTTTAAGAAAAAAAATTTCACATGTCCCAGGTGCCACTGACGTACACGTGTCCTTCAGTGAGCCATATCCTTCGATGAGCCATGTAAGTGTCATGCAAGTATTTTCGACGCCGTAGAACTAAAAATACAAAAAAAAATTATTTATTGGACTAATTTTGTGACAGACTGACACGTGTCATTCAGTGAGCTACGTGAATGTCATGTAAGTATTTTTTAAGCCGTAGAACTAAAAATGCAAAAAAAAATTATTTATTGGACTAATTTACAACAAACTCTAATTACAAAATAAAAATATAAAAAATGTTCAATTATCAGGACTAAAAAACCAATTAATCTAAATAAAAATAAACCACAATAATAAAAACTGAAATCAAACTCCAACCAAATTAAAAGAAAAAAAAATAAAAAATAAAAATAAAAATAAAATAAAATAAAATAAAAGGGGAGTGTCAAAAAGTTACCATTAGGGTGAACCACTTGTCCTGTGAAATACGACGAAGAATCATTAGAGGCCAAGAAAACATAAGATGGAGCTATCTCATGAGGCTGCGCCGCCCTCCCCATCGGCGTCTCCGCCCCGATCTCCGCCACCATCTCCTCCGGCTTCGAGGCCACCTGCAGCGCCGTCCATACCGGCCCAGCTGCTACAGCATTCACTCGAATCCCTTTTTCTGCCAAATTAAGAGCTAAACCTCGCGTCAATGCCACGATGGCGCCCTTCGTCGCGCAATAGTCGAGAAGCGCGGACGAGCCGCAGTAGGCCGCGGCCGACGTCGAGTTAATGATGGTGCTCCCTTCTTTCATGTGCTTCAAAGCATGCCTGCATAAATTTCGTGACAATTTCGCGACAAGAAAATAACATAATATTTCTCTTATAGCATGGTTCAAATTTTCAAAAAACACCGCTAATACATCTGATAGTACCTATAAAAAATTAATGCATTATTTAAACACCATGAATTTTATATATATTTTTTTTAAAAAAAAATATTTCATTATATATTATTCAACCCAAAATTTTCTCGAACCCATTCAAACAAACACACCCCAAATCTCACATTTTTCTAACCTTAATTTGTAAAGTAAAAGCACTTCATTAAATTTGTAATAAGCTGTCCACTCAAAATTTCATCCCACGATGTGTTATTCACCGCTGTCATATATATATATATATATGTATGGGAGAAATCGAGAATTATGGGAAAAAGACAACGTTGGATCGAATAGATATATATACATACCTGATGAAGAAGAAGTAAGAAAAAATGTTGGTCCTGAAAACCCTAAGAAGCCGATCTTCATCGATGTCCTCAACAGACAAGGATAAGTGCTGCTCCGCTGCATTATTTACAAGGATGTCGATCCGGCCATATTTTCCGGCGACTTTTTCGACCACCATTCTGCAGTTCTCCTCAAAGCCGACGTCCGCCGGCACGGCCAGAGGGTCACCGGCGCCGGGCGCCTTAAGTTGGTTGATCTTTCTGAGGGTGTTTTTGGCGTCTTCGTCCTCGTAGCCTGGCACGAATGTGAAGGCCACTGTAGCACCTTCCATGGCGAAATGGTAGCACACCGATTGCCCTATCCCTGAGTCCCCTCCGGTTACCAACGCTACTTTTCCCTACAGTTTGTACCAAAGTCGCACGATTTATATATATATAAGATTATTATATCGATTTTATTATTTTGCTTTTATTTATGGAATTGGAGGAGGAATTTAGAATGATAAATAGCTGAATGAGAGAAATTTATCTATAGAAAAGATCCAAAATAATAAAATTTGTAAAAATTAAAAGAAAAGTCATTATAAGGTTCAAAAGAACCTCAGACGCGTGAGAAAATAAATTATAAAAATTCAAAAATTGTATTAATATTTATAATGAAAATAGAAGGTTTGTAGATAGGGATACTATAAACATTCGATAAACTTAAATTTAATAAATAAAATTAAAATATAAAATAATTTAATTTAATTTAAAATTAAATAATTAGGTTTGTTTGTTCGTGGGTTTTAGTATTTGAATTTGAATTTTTTAATAGTAAAAAATTAAATTTTAATAGTTGTTTAATGTGATATAAATAAAAATTGATCTGATATTTTGAATGTAAAATAAATTTATAGATAATATAAAAAAATAATAATAATAATAGTTCGATATTTTTTTAGAAAAAAAAAATCTAAATAGTAAAAATTTACCGTAAAATTCAAAAGAACACAAATATCACGTTGAAAATAATGTAAGTTTGATTTGTTGGGTCATTGTCGATAAAGCAAATGTGAATTTTGTCTAATTGGGAATCAAAATATACGATAAAATATTGGGTTAGGTTCTTACATAAAGCTTGTTGGATTGTTTGTAGTGAGGGCTGATTGATTGTGGGGGTGGATTCATCAGCTGCTGCTTCCCGGGTTGTACCTCCTGCTTCTGTGGTTGTACCTCAGCCATTATTATATCTATATCTATATCTATATCTATCTATCTATGTATATTTGTGTTTCTTACTCTAAATGATATATATATATATATATATATAAGCAAATTGAGAAAAGGGAATTGGAGGTGGAGGTGAAATCATGGTCGACAGATGGAGTGTCGAAGTGCTGCCACGTGTCTTCAAAATTGCTTAGGTGGCAAACTATGTCCTAATTTATCAAAATTTATGGATGAAGATCAATTAGATGATAGGATTAAAATTAGGGTTTTAATTCGTGTTTTTGGGTCGTATCGTGTCGGGTTGAGCCATGAGGATAACAAAAAATTATCAATTCGAATCCGATCCTAACCCGAAATCTGACCTGAAATTCCAAACACGACACGAATTCTTTCAGGTCGGGTTCAGATTGACCTGAATTAGTTTCAGGTCACCCGAAACTCGAACATATCCGATACAAACCCAACACGAAATAGACTCGAAAATTTAAAAAAAAATTAATTGACCTAAAAAATATCATTTTTATTTTAATTTTTATATTTAAAATAATATAAATATTATAAATTAAAATAATAATAATAAATATTTTAGGTAACCCGAAATACGAAACCCAAAATCTAACATGATTTTGATATTTCAGGTTATCAGGTCAACCCGAAACACGATCCGAATACGACACGAATTTTTTTTATTTCAGGTTCGGATCGACCTGATTTTTTCAAACCCGAAATACCCATACTCAAACCCAAACCTAAAAAATCTCAGGTTGAACGGATTCGATTTTTTGGATCAGAGTTTACTTTTAACACCCCTAATTAAAATGATGTTGTTTGATATTGGGTAAATTTAGGGCCAACAACAACAACAACAATGATAATAATAATTTGTAAAATGTAAAATTAAAATCTTTTTGTTCGTAAAATTTGTTTTAATATATTATATCAAAAACAAATTATTGAACATTAAAAATATCTAGAATAAATTCAGCATCTTGACTTTGATGGTAGCCAAGGGGTGGGGTGCATGTTATGCCTAAAGTAAAATTGACACCTAAAAATTTTCATTTATTTTCTTGAGAGGAACAGCTTTTCAATGAACCCAGCAAGAAGAAAAATGAAAATTAATGAATTTTGTTTTTTATCTAAAATTTTTAAATACTATATTTTTCAAAAAAATTAATATAAAATTTCACATAAAAAAATATTCCTTCAAATTAAAATACAAAACAAACACACCTGCACATATTAATGTATATATATATGTATTGTTAGTTAATGTTGTATAGAATATTTTTATGTATTTAAGGTTCGTCTGAATTAGTTTTTAGGATAAGTTTTTGGCTTTTACTTCTAAGAAAAAAAAATTATATATGTTTGTATAAGTTTTTAAAATTGAAAAGTATTTTTTCAATATTTTAAAGGTAAATTTTGAAATAAAGAGAAGTATTTTTTTTAGTTAAATATAATATTTTATTCTTAATAATAATAATAAATATAATATAAAAATAATTAATTTATATATTACTATATTTTAAGAAAAATCAAAAAATATAATTGTATTATTATTATTTTAATTTGTATGCTATAGTTAAATTAAAATTTAAAATTATAATTAAAATACCAAATTCAAAAACATATTCTTTTTAATTATATTAAAATTACTAAATATAATTAATATAATTTTAAAATAAATTGTAAAATAAAAATAATTTAATATTGAATTGTAAATTTATTTTAAATTTATATATTATCCTTGAATTAAAATTTCAAATATAAATAATCAAAATTTTAAAATATACTTTTATACTAGATAATTTAAAATTTTAAGTATAATTTATAACGCTTGAAATAAATTATAAAAATTTTATACAAAAATATTATTATCCTTTTTGACTAATTTTAACAATTTAAAACACTTTCAATTCTATTACATCCAAAAAAAAAAAAAAAAAAAACCCTTTTGACATCTGCTTCTATTGAGGAGATGCGCCACGTCACAATTTAAAAAAATACAGATTCATTGCTAGAGATGCTGGAAAGCTTTTATTCTATTGTCATGTGTCCCAATTTAATTGAGACACATGACACTTATTATATATATATATGTATATATATAATATATTATATATATTTTATTTTTTTAATTTATATTGAATTTATTGTTATATTTAAATTTTATAATATTTTTATAGTTCATAATATTTTGTATTCTACAAAATGATATCAATATTGAATATATTTTATCAATTTTAAATTTAAAATATATAAATACAAACATTATATAATCATATTGAACAAATCAATATTAATAAATTTAATTTAATTTATTAAATAAAATATAATTATAAATTTAAAGCAGTCAAAAAATATAAAATTATATTAAACAATAAATATATTTAGTTTATAATATAGTATAATAATTAAATAAATAATGAATACTACAAATTAAAACTATAATTAAAAAATAATATATATATATAATATGCAAATAAAAATTTATTAAAAAATTAGGATGAGTATGTTTGTTGTGAATATAAAATAAAATAGAGTATTTCCTCTGACCTGGCAGACAGAGAAAATGACATGGATAAAAAAAAGTAGTAGAGATACCCAAAAGCGGGAATCTCCATTGCGGATGGTGTTACTGACTTCTATTTGTTAGTAGTGTGTTATCCGCATTATACTGAAAAGTGTTGAATGACAGCAACACAGATATTCCTGTGAACAAATTCTGCTCATATCTTCCATTTATTATTAGGAGCTACACATAGCACATTACAATTCTAGAATCTTGATGACGAAATTCAAATTCAAATTCAAGATCTTCTAGGGTTAGCTGATGAGTGATCATTGTGGTGTTGGCTACTGTAATTAGCAGTCATATGAGGAAGAGCCCCTCTTGGGCTTTGATCAGAAATCCTCTGAAACTTGTTCCCAGAGGCTGTGAATCTTCCCTGCCTCATGTTCTTCCTCCTCGGATTCGCCATCGAACGGGGGATAAACACTCCCGTGCCCTTTATTTCCCTTTTGTTCATCTGCTGGTTGTAGTCGAGGACCAAACCCGGCGCTACTGGATAAATTTCCCGATTGAATGCCTGATAATTGAAAACAAACATTAATACTGTGATCTTTTGTGAGTTTTACCCCATGTTTTTACTATTTAAATTCTTTTTTCCACAAAAAATATGGCATCAAACAATCCTCTATTTATATCATATCAAATAACTATTCAACTTCAATTTTTTTACTATTCAGACCCACGAACAAACACACCCTAAGATGGTCATATATTTAAAGATGTTTTTAAACTTTTCGTCCTATTTTAATTTGTTAAAAAAACATAGCATCAAATATTAACTTTTTACTAATTTCAAGTTTTTTGTCAAGAAAGGATCGAACGACAAAGTACCTGGAGATTCAGCGAAGGGCAATGCGCAATCGAGTCATCACAGCCAGGACCATCATCTTCATCATCCATGATCAGAAGTGAGATTTGTCTGCTTAAGTCCTTGAAGAAGACATCATCCTCTAACTCCAATGCTGCTGCAGCTTCCATAACAATGTCTGCAACTAAAACCAAAGTATATATATATATATGTCTAATTGTATCTATCTACTGGTTCCTAGAGATGTAAAAACACTTCTTTAATTAGTTCCCTAATGAATCTGAAGATGGGCAGTGACTTAAATAGGGAAGACGAAAAGCAGCAATAGGGATGGGATCTAAATAGAGTAGTAATATAAGTGGGGGTGGGGTGGGGTAAGAGCATGTGGGGGGGTTGGGGGCCAGTGAGTTGGCCATCATCCTGTCATGAGTCAGTCCACAGCACAACCCCACAAGGATCTATCATCAAAATATTTTGGGGGATTTCATGATATTATCCAGTTAAGGATGAGGAGGAAAGAAAAGAGGCAGGCAAGGGAAGACCCACAGCCCAGATCAGATTATCTGATCCATAGATAAGAGACTTCATCTTCAGGACACACACACACTTGGCTGTGGATTTATTACAATTTCTTTTTTCAGATTTCGACAATGCAGAGTCTACAGCAAAGAGATTGGTTTGGGTTGGTCCCATCTGATGGGATCGATCCCTTTTGTGGATCAACAAGAATAATGTTTTGATACTTGCCCTGATTTCTCAAGATTTCTTTATCAGTATTGTCACTGAAAAGAACTCACTCAAGAAGTCGGCATGATGCAATAATAACTTCAGCCTGACGAAAACCATTTAAATACATATACACATGTATAGTATATATATATATACACGTTAACATAATACAAATGCAACATATGAATTGACAACACGTAACAATAGTTTATGCATTAGATACTATAATTAAACTCAGCACATATACATAACCCGACAATATATAAAAAAAAATAAATAAACAGCACATGGTATATGTAATGTTAACTTAATACAAGTGTAGCATCAACAATAGTTTATACAGCAGATGCTACAATTAAACTTAGCATATATACATAAATATATACATATACAGGCCTGTAGAGAGAGCTTATCCTTTCACAAATTCATGAATTATCACACTTCTATTTAATAACACAAATTATGGGCATTTTATATTCCGGAGGAAACAGTAAACATTCAATCATATATTGTGCAAAAATTCAAGGTATGGAAATCTGTGGTTCCTATTTGTTTGGGGCCAACATAATCAGAAATGAAATTAAAAGAATTAAATAACATTAAGAATATGCATATCAAGATTCTTCAAAGATTGCAGCAAAAATTTAGTTTCATTGATACTAAATCATAAGTGAAATATGAAAGGATGTTACAAAGAAAGGCTCGGAATTCGGCGTCTCTGTTTCCTACTACTTCAGAAGAATTTTCACATACGCTTGGGAAAATAATGAAATGGGAAACAGACGTACGTTTAATATTATGCATGTTGATTCAAGAATCATCATACCAAGATAATTACGCCCCACCGGCCATGTCAATGTCTGTAACTCTGTCGACTCCCTTGAATACAATTCGCAGTTTTCTTGAACAAGATTGCTTCTTATCACCCTTTCCGGTCATTCCGGTAACATTAACAACATCCTTGGGGACTTCGCCCATTAGATCATATAGAGGTAGATCCAGGTTTGATCGAGTCATCTCTTCTAGTACTGGAGGTGCCTGCATATACAAATTCTTCCCACCGGATGTCACGCTCACCCTACTGAGGAGCAGCCGAGGGTGATCTTCCAATTGATCGATGAACTGTAGAATCAGATGAACAGACCATAAGAGGGAATAGCAGTCGATATAATTAAGATATAACGAATAGAAGATGCACCTTTTTAAGAGTAACCGCCTTGTCTAACTCAATAAGAACACCAGGACCGCAGACAAGACAGTCTCCATCCCTAACAAACTCCGTAACTTTGGTATGAAGACCTGCAACACCATTGTACCTGGGACATGAGAATACATGTATCGATTAGTACGCACTTCCATTTAAATATATTAAGATCTACTAATTGAAGGCATACGTTAAATAGTTTGACAATGTCTTGCTGCATCCAGAGACAAGCTTCAAGGTTTCCAGAGCACATGCAGCCGAAATAATAGCATTCGTGGAAGCTATAGCAGGAATTATATTTTTCACCACGCCCTGTAACCAAAGTGATTCATTAAGCCATATACAATATGCATATACACACACACACACAAGCACAATAACAAAAAGAGACTACCAGAGTGCATCAAGTCTTACCACGCCAAAGCTATTAGAAGTGTAAATATTGTCGAGAACAAAATATCAGGTACATATTTAATTTAAAAGTTTATAGCTAGCTAGAAGCTATACACATCAGTAGATATGCATTGGCATATGTTACAACAGCGACAACCACCCAAAAAATATGTAAATAAATAAAACGAAAAGATAAAACCGCAAGGCACATTTTTACCTGAGTCAAAGTATAAGTAACTCCTGGAATCCCGAAAAGTTCAGCCCTCTTGACAGCCTGTGAGAATGGAAGTAAATGAATAAAAGGAGAAGAAAATTGATAACAATTATGAAGAAAATCTTTTTTATTTTTTTACCTCGGTGTAAACCCATTGCATGTCTTCGGGGTTATCAGGATCGAAACTTTTGTCACCATGAACCTGAAAGTGGGAAAAATTATATCTCACACAACTAAATGATGCATAGACAGATCTATAGAATATAAGGAAACTTATATTATCCTTACCTCGTTCCATTTAATCAGGTGTGCATATTCAATACAATGAGCAGCAGTTCTTGGAGTTTCTGCTAAAGTGCACAGAGGAAATTTCACTTGTGGAGGAAACAGCCAAATGGTACACTCAAAACATGGTGTCTTTCCCGGTATTATGATCCTGGCATGGCCCTTGAAACCTTCGGTCCCACCATCTACCATAGGTTTTACTGTTTCTTCCCGAGGGTTATCTTCAGAGTCATACTCTTGTTAATTGAAAAGGAAACAAAGGAATCTAAGTTCAGTCAGTCCATCAAAACCTAGTGTTTCTCAAGAAAATGAATTTCGATTGTTTCAAGACCAAAGTAATGTTACGCTCATGAATTGTAATGTTTTAGTATATTGAAAGTTGGTATCGCAGGGTGGGAGGTTCTGTCATCATCTGGCATTAAACCCAAACTACGATAAATATGATCAGTACATTATTTAATACAACAAACAAGAAAAATGTAAAAATTAAACATTTAGCAGATGGAGAATAGACAATTGAGTCATGTGTAATTTAAAAATCTTATCCATTACGAGAGCTTTTCCAGGTCCATTGCTTCATAATAGTAGAGAAGAAACTGGGAATAGAACCAAACCTAGAAATCCGCAAGCGACTCCATTTATGTAGCTCCGAGCCTCAACCGAATCAAGTCCAAGCACAATTATACTGAAATCGTTATAAAAATGCAAAGGTTTGTCCTCAATACGACAGAAATGTGGGACGATGTTAACACCCTTAACTCTTTCCATGACTCGTTTTGCAGCTACTTCTGCCTTCGGCTTTCCTACATCTTCAAGCCTAAAGAAAGTACAGCAAAGTTGAGCTATGAAGCAGTTTTAAGGAGAGACTGCTTGAAAATATGTAATGCACACATTTGCAACAACATTGAGATGTAAATTTTAACAATAACTTCTGGTGAGTTCATATATTGAAATAGGGTGTCAATATAATATTTGATGTGATGTTTTGCGACAGAAAAATACATTCGATGTGATGTTTTTAAAAACGTTGGAATAGTTTCAAACACCCAAAAATGTTATCTAAGTCAGTAAGTCCTAAATAAAAGCCTACAAATTTTGAGTCTTAATACAATTCCGAACTCAAATTCCTACATTCCATTGAATACAATTCCCACAATGACTTGGATAAACACTTCAAGGCTCTACAACACATTATTGCAGTTCAAAGTCAGCATAAAAGCAGAAAATTTCACACGCCCCAAAGAGATAACAGAGAACCTAAATCCGGCATCATAAAAATGATAGAACTTTAAATCACCCAGAAAAATGAAGTAACATACTCAAATAATCAATTCTTGAAATCAACATCTGGATTGATTGATTATTCCCATAGCAAAAGTACCACGAGCATTGAAACATACAAGAACCAAAAAAAATATGTACCTGAAGAGGAACTGACGATTGAGGTTCGTGACCTCTATACGATCCATATCGATTACATCTAGGTTTCGAAACCCTGTTAAGGCCAGGTCCTTCAGCAATTCGCAGCCCAGCCCGCCTGCCCCCACCACCAACACTTTCACATACTCTTTTATGTCCTCTCTAAGCTACACCAGTCCAATTCACAAACAAAAAGGTATCGATCATCAGAAACATTTCTTAATTAAAACAAAATCAATGCACATCAGATGTTCGACGAAATAACACACAAACGAAAAACGCAAGTAATCCAGAAGCGACGATTGTTCACTACTACTCCAGTCCAATTTCAGTTCGGAAAATCACAAACAGAATCCAAATAATCCGATTAACACCGTAAAAATCAAAACTTCAAGTGCCTAATAACACAAAAAACATATGCAGGTCTCACCTCCTCGCCGGGCTCAAAATTCGGGCCAACAAGGTGTCCGGGGCGGAGAAGAAGCTTGTCGAGGTCCCTTGATCTGCTGGGCTGCGACACCGCCATTTTCAGTGACGGTAAACCCCTTAATTCTCCGATCCTAAAATATGTTTGGCCGGATACTCTCTCCGGTGACTTTGTATCCGATCCCTACGGTTCTTGCGCTTTATTCAGTAAACCCTTCCCAGCCTTTATATTTAAAGTAGCGACTCTTTATAGAGTCGGTATTTCGAGAAACGCGACTTTGGAAAATCGTGAATCTAGTTCGAATCATTGGGTTTGGGTATAGCGAAAAACGCAACAGGAGTAGATGTACGGCACAAGATGGGTAGCTTAGTATTTACGCTTCCATGTTCTGCCTAAATTAAAATTAAATTAAAACCAAACAAATGCATTTTTTTAAATTTTGTGGTATTTTTGTTAATTTTTCTAATTATATAAATTTATTATTTTTTGTGATGAATATTATTATTTTATATTTTAGTACAATTTTTTTTTTTAAATCGTATAATTAAAATTTTAAAAATTAAAAAAAAAATATTTTTCAATTTCTATTTTTTTATTTTAATAAAAAAAAATAAAAATATTTTCATTTCTTGTCAATTTATTGTACCAAACAAACTCAAAAATTCTTTAGTCACTTGCAAAAATCACTATCGACTTTGTCACGGACTTTCCATCTCAAATCCGTGCCTAATAACTTTTCTCCCAACGTTGTCCTAACCTGAACTATGTACACTTGCAACGGCTATACCCATCAATCATACATGAGCTCGAAATCCCGTCGAATTCGACATTTTCCGAGCCTCTCGATTTAATACGACAGCATAGAGTAGCTCGTTCCACGTATCGGGGACGCCGGGAAGGCACCAATGGCTGCAGTCCTGCCGGTGGCGAGGCGCCAGGCCGACTCCCGCGCCCAAATAGTACAACGACGAGTGCCCGTCTCGTCTTCTCGACGTAAGGTGCGTTATGTCGAGCACGTCCAAATTCGACGTGTTATGATGCGACGATAAAACTTGCACGAAAATGTTGTACTTATCCCACGTGTGAGCCGGCACTAATGATGAGCCGGTGTCCGGGAGAGTCTCAAGATGGCACGTTCCGCCGGAGCTCCAATCGCCGCCCCTGAAAATTTTCACATAAATCAATACGATGTATTGTACTAAAAATTAAATCGAATTGTTGAAATACTGCATATATTATACTAAAAATATACCAAATTTTGGTTTACAATCTTACGAATTTTGCGATATATAGATTAAAATTTTTTGAAATACTTCAGTATATACTGAAAATGTTGTATAGTGTTTTGATGTTTTGATATTTGAAATATCGGTAAATACCAATAATTCAGTATATTGATACTGTATGAGCAAATTCAATATATCGTATTATATCGGTACAATATATATGACAGCGGCTACAGTGCTGAATTTTATGAATCTTATAAAAGCACTGTAGCCGCCGTCATCTAAATACCAATACTTCACGATGTATAAATAATACTATGTTTGGCAGCACACGGTATTATTACATACATCACATTGTATATAATAATATAATATAAATACAATACATTAATTAACAGTATACGCTGTAGTCACGTACAATCAGTTGATTTTAACATACGACATACTCTTATATAGTACACATGTAATTATGAATAAATAACACATCATGTATTATTTGTATATATTATGGGTGTTGATTGCACACCTTAACCATTTCTGATATATATATACCAAGTTTTTGGTATAGTATGATAAAATATCATACTGAAAATTTTAACATAGTATAAAATTCGGTAAAAATATGAGTTCAGATGCAAACCTAAAGTGAACCGGAGCGTATGTTCGGAAGACTACTTGCGTGTGAGAAGTATTAACTTCCCGACGTATCCATCCAAGCACCGTATCCAATGCCTTACGGTACGCACCATCGACGCTCATCTCCGTCTCCACACTCCGCCTTTCTTGAAAGTAACAACCTCTAACGAACAAAATCAAAATCATCAGAACGATCAAATTTAACATAATAATAATAATAATAAAACTAAAAAGAATTACAGGCGAATAGTCTTCTCCCGATTCCACCAATGTCCGGTGTTCAAAACGAGCACGTCGGCATCCTTCCACCGCCGCGACGTCCAATCCATCTGATCGAGCTTGAGCGTAGTTCTAATCCCCGACGGCGAATTCGCCGGCGGCCGGCTTTGTAGCACGAGAAACGGCGCACGGTAGTATTCGACCGTCGTATTGTAGCGCGCAAATTTGAAAACCAAGAACCCTTTATGCTTAGTGATCGGATTTCCGTGCACTTCATATATCTCTTCGTCGCCGGCGCCGGAGCCGGCCAACATGCATAACAGAGATTCCCATTGGTTTCTTCCGATGGAATCTCCGGCGAACACAATCCGTTTGTTCCTCATCTTCTCAAGCATCATTTTCCCATCGAATCTGTCCCCAAACAACAAAATTTGCATTACATTCTTAACAAACGAATGGAATATACAATTAATAAAAATTTATCAAAATAGGAAAGTTGTCATTATTCTTTTATAATTTCTTTGAGAAGACATTTTATATCAAAAACACTATTTCTTCAAAAGAAACATTTTATGAAAACTTATGTTTTGTTCTTTTATCATTATTATTTACTCGTATATACTTTTCAATATATTTTTTTTTTTAATGTTCAAATGCTATTTAATTAAAAATTAAAATAAATACTTCACTTCAAATCAATTTTAAAATATAACTAAATAGCTTTTTTCTATGATAAAAACTTCAAAACCTTCTTAAATCCCTTGCCTAAAAAGAGACAAATATTCATTTCCAAAATTTTACAAAAAAAAAAAACTAAAACTTTTATTTAAAGAATGGTCCTATGCTTGACTTTTATATAAATTCGACATATGTTTGAATTTAAAAGCTTGAATTTTGTATAAAAACATCGAACACATGCTTACAAAACCCTCTACCCAAATTAAAACCTTAAAATGCTCCAAAAAAAAATAAAAATAACAAAATAACAATAATAATAATAATAACAACAACAACAACAACAATAATAATAATAATAATAATAATAAAAAACAACCACCTGGGAAGATTACAACGTTTGGGCTGCCATCTCCACTTAGTGTAATAAGAATCGGGTCTTCCATTTTCAGAGCATCTGAAACCTTCGTCTAAAAATCTGCAATTTCGAGATTCATACAAAGGGTACTTCTCATCCCACACCCAATCGCCGTCGAACACGTCACACTCCTCCCCGCCGCCGCCGCCGCCGGGAAAATCAATTTTCTCATCGCCGCTGCCGGGAAAATCAATTCCGACGAGCCTCCTGAGGCCGCCGTAATTGACCACATAGAAGCAAAGGATTAGGCACAAAGTCAGGCCAATAATTCCGACCGCCGGCTCCGGCAGCCGCCGGCGATTCATTTTCTTGCAGTAATCTGCAACGGACATAATAAAAATAATAATAGATTCGATTTTTGCAGAGGTTTCGATTAATACGATGACTTGGTGGGAGAGGAATGGATAGCCTTCGTGAATTCCATATGATTGTTTTTGTGGGTTTGATTTTGGCAGTTATGGAAGCAAGGCACCCCCCAAAGAGGAGACAGTGGGGGGGGTGGGGTGGGGGTTCGGGGGTAAGGGTGGGTTGAATTCAAAAACCCAGATAGGATAGAAGTTTAATAATTAGAGTTTATTTATTTATGATTGGTAATAAATGGAAGATGGGATTTTTGGGTTTCTTGAATGGGACAGATTTTTTTGAGGTCAATTTTTGGAACAAAAAAATAATAGTGTTTTTTTCAGCTTCTTATTATTTTTCATCAATTTTTTAATAAAATATATATATATTTTTTTTTATGTTCGATATCAATATTTTTTTTGATATAAATAGTATTATAATTTTTTTCTATTTTAATAAAAATATATATATTTTTTTTATTTTATGTTGTTTTATTTGATAGTATTTTTATTATAATAAAAATAATTTATATGCATATCAAAATATTCTTAACGATTTTAAAAGCATCTCTTGCTATTGTACTCGTGAAAAAATATTAAAAATATCTTATATATTTTTACTGATAAATAAAATATTATTATTTTTTAATTTATTATAAAAATAAAAACATATTGAATTGGGTATAATACAATATAAGAACGAATGTATAAGGTTTGTTCGCATAGTATTTTGATGTGGAACGATTTCACTGAGATATTATTTTTAAAAAAAATGCATACATTAATATAACATATATTTTACAAAAAGAAAAATTAACAGTTCAATACAAAATTTTACTATTTTTTATATTATCAACATAATTTCTCATATCTAATATAAAAATATATTCATCCAAAATCACAAAATAAACAAACCCATTATTTTATATTAAAAAAATTTTGTAATGTAATTAAATTATATTAATAATATTATTGTAATAATAGATAATATGCAACAAGTTCTTAATATTTATAGAAAACAACTCAAATTTTTATTGAATGGTGAAAAATGAGAGAATTTTCACTTATTTTATTGGGCAAATAAATATATACTATCATCACCAATAATTATTTCATAAAAATAATACTTCCTCCGTCCCTCATCATTTGTCTCTATTTTTTATTTTCGTCTGTTCCATATAACTTGTCCTTTCTATTTTTGGAAATATAATTATGCACTTTAATCGCATTTTAAATTTTAAATTTTATAATTTTCTTAATTTTAATTAAACTATTTAGTTATCTTAATCTTAATCTATAATAATTTCTACTAAATAATTATTATTTTTACTAATATACTTCTTAATTATTTACTAATTATACTTTACCTGAATTCTCGTATCTACGGTAATAATCCCATATTTTCTGGGACGGAGGGAGTAACAATTTTGATTGTGTTTGATTGTAGGTTTCAAACCCAATCTTCACTATTATTAATTTCTTAATATATTAAATTAAATATTTATTTTTTATTTTTATATTATATTAAAAATTAATTTTATATTTAAAATAATATCGATACTTAATTCTATCATATATATTGTAGACACTAAAAATATATGTCTAAAATCAATTAAATATCATGTATTTTGGAAGAAAATAAAATTCCAATAAAATAAATATATGGTATTTAATTATGCACATATGTTAATTTTTGTACAATAAATATCAACCATTAATGCAAAATCTGCTTAAAATGGAAGATATCGTACAAATATTACGTGCATAAATAGAGCCATAATAAATTTGGCAGCAAAATAAATTAATCTTGTCAATAAAGGAAGTATATAAATTAATATCTTCCAAACAAGGCAATGATATAAAGATCTTGTCAATAAAGGAAGTATATAAATTAATATCTTCCAAAAAAGGCAATGATATAAAGATTTTGACGAGAAAGGAAGGTGCATAATCAAATCCGTCAAAAATGGAAAACGGCATCCGAGGGAAAAGGAAAGATTATAAAATCTTTCCATCCACGTGGCACCATCCGAAAAGGAAGCCAAGGCCACCCTCCCCTATAAATAGGAGCCTTGGCCAATTCATTTAGACACCGAAGTTCATTTGAAGACTCGCGCAAGGGTAAGTCTCTCTAGACTCTCTGCAATGTTCTTCATTGTTCTTCGTGTCCTTCGAAGCGTTCTTCGTCGAAAAGTCACCGATTTGGACAAATGATCCAATATTGGTTGACGAATCGATGAAGTTAACGTTCTTCGTCGTATGTCCGAGCCGGAGGAAGGATCAAATCTCTCAAAGCTATCGAGGAATCCATCAAAGCCAAGGAAGAGCCTCCAAAGTCGCTCCCAAAGCTTGAAGATGTTCGTCGCGTTCTTCATAAAAGGCGCAAACCAGGCCCTCTTCGATCCAAAAGTCAAAGGGACACGCCGCCAAAAGCGTTATGGAGCACTAAATCTCTCCCTCAAAGATCAAATTCCGTCGGATCATCCAAAGGAGGCATCAATCCGAAGCCGACGATCAAAATCGCCAACATGGATACCAAAGTCCTTCAAAAGCCGGCGAAGTCAAACCGAAGACCAAAATCCCTTCGGATCAAAGAAGCCACCCAAATCCAAATTGGAAAAATGGATCGACCCGGAGAGAGAATCAAAGGATCCGAATAGAGAATAGGACCCGCATTAAATTTAAATACAAATATAATTTGTACAAATTTTGTGTTTATAAAAATATAACACAATTTTTTTGTCTACAGATTTTTGGCACGCCCAGTGGGACATCTCTACCTTTCATCTCTCTTTCCGTCGAATTCTCAAACAATCAATGGCTTCCTACAAAATCAAGACTTCCAATGCTGTGTCGAAAGCTGCTGCTCTAGCCGCCACCGCCAAAGGAGTCGCTGCTACTACATCAAGAACCTCAAGTGCTTCAATGAATGCTGGAGTGATGACACGAAGTATGGCTAAAAGAGTACTGTCATTTTCCGAGGATGCACATCCGAAAATCACAGAGCAAAACTCACTCTATGAGGAGGACGAAAGCTTCAAGAGTACCTCCGCACCGGGCACCCCTCAAGAAGTTGCAACTCGTTCGACCGCATCGAGTTATGCCCCGGTGATGACCACGAACGCTTCAAACATAGAAGACCAACTTGTTGCACTGGCCAAAGTTGTTGAAGGGATGTCTCAACACATGCAGCAACAAGACAATGTCATCGCAAAACTGCTTGCAAAATTGGACAAGCCGGAACCAACCAACCAGAATGCTTCGGAGGCCCAAAATGAAGCAGAAACATCCATGGATCAACGCCACGGTAAAGAAAAAATGGCGGGACCAATGCCGTTTCAAACATCATCTGACTCTTTCATCCATCTATCCCAACTTGACGAGTATATCAAAGGAGCTCTCAAAAGGGAGTTTGAAGGAAGTTCAAGGCCAACAAATATGTATGCCAAGCCTTACACTTCAAGGATCGACGCCCTCAAGATGCCGTTGGGATATCAACCACCAAAGTTCCAACAATTTGATGGCAAAGGCAACCCAAAGCAGCATGTGGCACACTTCATGGAAACATGCAACAACGCTGGGACATACGGCGATCTCTTGGTAAAGCAGTTCGTACGGTCATTAAAAGGCAACGCCTTCGACTGGTATATCGACCTGGAGGCTGGTTCCATCGACAGTTGGGAGCAGTTGGAGTACGAGTTCTTGAACCGGTTCTACAGCACAAAAAGGACCGTCAGTATGACAGAACTCACCAATACTCGTCAATGGAAAGATGAACCAGCAATCGACTACATCAACCGCTGGAGGAGTTTGAGCTTGAACTGCAAAGACCGGTTGTCTGAGGCCTCCGGTATAGAGATGTGCGTCCAAGGAATGCACTGGGGGTTGAAATACATCCTGCAAGGGATCCGACCCCACACTTTCGAAGAACTTGCTACCCGCGCTCATGACATGGAGTTAAGTATGGCTTCAAGCGGGATGCACGGACCACCAGTTCAAGAATCTTCAAAAGCAAAAAGATACGAAAGATATGATGCCGCAAAGAAGGGGAACAACGCCCCTATCAAATCTTTTGGAAAAGAAGCCTTGGCCATAAAAGCGACGACCAAAGCACCTATGAAGATCCAAAGTAAAGAAAAGGAAGTTGCAAGGAAAAGACAATCAACTCAGACAGAAAGACCGCCAAGGCCAACCCTTAAAGAGTTGCAATCCAAAACTTATCCTTTCCTGGATTCTGACGTCTCGGGAATCTTTGACGATCTACTCAGAGAAAACCTCATTGAACTTCCGAATTCAAAAAGACCGGAGGAAGCTGGAAAGGTTGATGACCCAAGATATTGCAAATACCATCGTGTCGTAGGACATCCCATCCATAACTGTTTCATCTTTAAAGACAAAGTCATGGAGTTGGCTCATGAAGGAAAGATCACCCTTGAAGACGATTCTGCTTCTGTTAATGTCACTTCAATCATGTTCGGGTCTCTCGAAGTTGACATAAAAGACAAAGAATCATATTGTCTCACTACCGAGAAAGGTGGCAAGGCGATCAGAGACAAATCGAGTGAAGAATGTGCCACGATAACTTTCACTGATGAAGATTTGGTGTTAGGATCCAAACCCCATAATCGTCCATTACTGGTCATGGGTTATATCCATGAACAAAGGATTAACCGGATATTCTTAGACGGAGGAGCTGCAGTCAATGTCCTTCCTCTATACACATTGCAAAAATTGGGAATACCAGTAGATCAGTTATTCGAGAGTCGTATGACAATACATGGATACAATCAAGAGGGGCAAAGAGCACTTGGCACCATAAGATTGAGACTCTTAATCGATGAAATGGAAACTAACCCTTTGTTCTACGTGATAGACGCAAAGACATCTTTCAACGTTCTTTTGGGAAGACCATGGATACATGAGAATGGTGTAGTTCCATCAACGTGGCACCAATGCTTCAAATACGCTCAAAATGGAGTGACAAAGAAAGTTCTTGGAGACACAAAGCCATATGCAGAAGCCGAGTCACACTTTGCGGATGCCAAATATTTCTCTACAGAAGCAAAAAAATCCAAGGTACATGAAGATGTCAAAGCACCACAACCAAACTTGGGGGCAAAGTTAAGAGATAAAGAAAAAACACCTGCCTCAGGTTCTGCAGACTCATTAA